GTTTCATTTTTTGTTGTTCCTGTCTGTTGTTAGTTTTATAATTTAGTTATTACAATGACTGTTCCATGTACACTATAATGAGCAAACGCACACTTTTTAATGATATCAGCAAATCTAAATGCATAAAATAATTTGGAAATCAGGATAAATGTTTAAATAACTTACCATATGGAAGGATATTAGCACCAGATTTAGAATAACAGGAAACAACACACATCAGTAAGAAAATAATTGGAAATATCAATATCATGTTGCATCTAAAATTAGAAAATAAAAAATAAAATCTAAGTAAGATCAGGTTTTCTTTACTGCTCATAAAGTTACTGAATTCAATCTACTTAGAAGTATAACAGCCGACAATGTTTTTGAAGACATGATCAATAGTGTGTTTGAAGACATGATCTTTTATCAGCAAATAAAGTACTTGCGATAGTTTACAGTAAATCTAAATTTTATACCTCAGTGTGTATTTTCTTAATAAAATTTATAGAGAAATAAATCTATTATTTTTACAAACTTGTCTGAAAAAGACTATTTACCGGTTAAGTGTTTCAAAAACTCTTCACAAATGGTTCAGATACATGTATCTGTCGAATTTTAAATTAGGTATACACATAGGGTGATCAGTGATGACTTCTGAATGTCTGTTCTGGTTTTGTATACTGTTGTGTTGTTGTTAAACTGATGTATATCTAACATCTTCCTCATGTGGTACCATATGGTATAGCATTTGGTCTAATTTTCTCTATCTGAGGGTGTACGACTCCCCTCATGGGGTTTCTGTTTAGTTGTGCGGGATGTATATGTACGCAGTCACGTCCGTTCGGAATTGGGATGTTGAATCGTTTAGGGAAAATGCTCCGCTTTCTACAGTTTAAGAATGCTTCCAATAACTCTTACCAGGGTCCGTTGGTGGTTTGTTGTAAGTAAAATTTTTGGACTATCCGTGAGATATTTACCACCGGGTATTAAGCAACAAACAACCAATAAATCATTACCTTTTTGTATGCATTAAGGACAGAAAACGAATGAGGTCAATCAAAAGATAAGGCAAGGAACCATACAAATCGACGTAAACGAACAGCACATCCTATTATTGGTTATCGATACTTCGTATACAACAGATACAAAAGTATAAACAAAAATACCGAATTCCAAGGTAATTCAAATAGGTGAAAATCAGACGTTAAACTTTATCAACCAACGGAACGAATGGAAAAAAACAACTGTCATATTCAAAGATCGCAATCTGCTGTACAAGATTGCAAATATCTATTATATTGCAATGGCTATCGGAATGGCAGACAAAAATCTGCTTTACACGATAGTAAAAAAACTTACACGATAGCAAAAACAACTAACACGATAGTCAAAACAACTAACACGATAGTCAAAACAACTTACACGATTGCAAAACAACTTACACGATAGCAAAACAACTTACACGATAGCAAAAACACCTTACACGATAGCTAAAACAAATTACACGATAGCAAAAAAAAATTGTTTTGAAGGGTAATCGGGAACACATATCTATTGTATATGCCGTAATGACATCCAGTAACAGGATGTGTTAGAGATCATTTAAAATGTAAATGCATTACTAATTAGAAGGAATGAAATATTAAATGTGGTTGAAAGATAGTAATATTATATTTAGTATGCAACTGAAATAGTTTTGTCAAAACCGATTGTCATTCAAATTTGATCAGGATTAAACCACTTACAAATGTTGAACAGGAAAAGGTTTCTAAAAACTGTGACAGACTATTAACGTACAACTTACTTGTCCAACAATTGATTTATGTTCAATTTGTTTCGATGATATATGGCTGCAATCTATGAACAATAAATTAAATCAGTCGAAACTGCAACCCAAAATAGATAAGAATATTGAGATGACATTAATGAGATCAGTTTGGATTCCTTAAAATTTTACATAAAAACTCACCTATCGTCCGTTTTCTTGTAGATATTTGAGGTAAATTATGATAATTGGTGACATAATCTCGCACGAAATACATGTCTTTAAAATGTGAATAAAACGTGTTATTGTTTATACTTCCATAATAACTTAATTAACATATTAAAACATAATTAAATTCACTTATATTAATTTTAATCACACATACTAATGAGACGGTAATATCGGTATTGTTTTATGTTCTCTTTATTTATTATATACATCTCTTTATTTTTCCCTTTTTGTTAACATCTGCATGATATAAGGTCGGTGATGCAAAAAGTTTAAATAAGCTCGTTACAATTAATTATATTACTATGTTAGGAAACAAAACTCAGTTTTATGATCCTTGTAGATGTCTTGACTTTTGGTATTTAGACACCTCTCTCATCAATTAGGAAATAAGTGTTTTATTTAAAAAATAGCCACAGGAGGTGCTGGGCAACAGCTAATTTATACATACTATATTATGTAATGATTAGATTTAAAAAAAAGTTTAAATCAAAAAGTGTTTTTTCATTTCATATTTTATTTTTAATTAAGTCGGTTGTGGATTACCGATATTCAAATCTCACAAATCGCTTACAAGACAAATCAAGGCAATAAACAAAAACTGAGGGAATCGCATGAACTCCAAAAGGGACGAGACCGAGTGTGTCGACAGGACAAGAGTCTCATACTGTGCATGCACCACCTGCCATGTGAATCCACACTCAATTAAAGTGTCACAATCAGGTAAAATTACAGATTGGACGACAATTCTAGTATATAAGAATGCGAAAACATGTCGCTAGTGAGTTAAAATGCAGTCGTCGTATCGGTCAACCCAAATTATGATAGTAACCATAAAAATTTATGTAGTGTCTATTCAGTCTTTATTCCTCGTAATTCTGTTTGAGCACATTTTGTGTAAGAAGCACACCCTGTTTATGAAGTCCGTATATTGTGAACATGTACAAGAGTAAGTATCAATAAAGATGGGGCAGAGGGTATGTTACTGCTGAGAAATGAGAAGTTGATAATTGGAAAGTTGAAATCATCATGTTTGTCATACTTGTATTAGATTCATTCTAGTTTGAAGTCGTCCATCTGTGTCCATATCTAGGAAAAGATCAAAAATGCAGCCGACCTTCTAGTTTCGGTAGTATCCTTAATCTCAAATTCCGCTAGGATACATCAGATGCAAGTACTCATTGAATTTGTTGAGTGTTTTTTGTTTATCGGCGTTAGGGGTATTTCAATGGCGACGTTTTGATTAACTAACAAATGTAGTTCATAAGGATTAAAATTATTAATCGCCCACATTTTATTTGAACACAAATGTCCAATGTACTAGTTTTACCACAATAAAACAGACTTCTCTGTTGTTCATTTTTAGAAAATGTTAGAATAAAGTAGTAAAATGTCTCAATGAAACCTTGTAGTAGTTGTTTGGCAAGGATGGGACTATTGTTTCGATTCTTTCATTAGGCACCGTCATCACAACCCGGTTGAAGACATGGTAGCTACAAAATCTGTACGCACTGAAATATAGTTACCAATAATTAGCATGTCTGTGTAAAGATGCACAAGTGAACTTGGGTTATATCTTTAGAGCAGTTCATTCAAGTATGTTTGTCATTAGTTTTGTCAATTTACGTTTCTGCTAGTGTGGTAATTTTTATAGATACCAATACAGATACAACCCCAGAATGATTGACAACTGTCATAATCAACAAGCAATTAGTGATAAGGTGGACATGAAATCAAATTCCCTTTATGTCAATCATATTTACAAAATACTACCTAACTTAAATCTTGTATAATAAAACAGACACGTATTAGACTATCCAATACACAACTCATTACACAATTCTTGACCTCAATATAATTTCAGAAGTTGATTTATACATAAATGATATACTTTATAACTTTATATCCCTGTCACTAAATAATTAAAAGTTTGGTACTATGTTAAAAGCATCTACCCCAACGAACTTAAAATAACGGATACAACATATACAGTTAAGTCTGTCTCACAAATTGACTTTTCATCTAGAAATTGACAGTAAGAGTCGACCGAGAACAAATCTGTACGACAAAAGAGATTATTTCAGATTCCCAATTGTGAAATTTCCATTTGTATGTAGCGACATTCCAACAGCGCGTGTATTTGGAGAATATATCTTTAAGTAGATACGATATTCCATAGTTTGCATTCCCTATCATGATTTCCTTGATAGAGGATTGCTGCTTTCAAGGAAGCTATTGAAACAAAGATTCCAAGTTGTTAAGTTAAAGTCATCCCTTCGAAAAAGACTGATTGATGTAACCACAATACCGTCCTCTTAACGTCGAATGTGACATTTTTTTGTGCCATGATGTTATCAGTTTCTCTTTGACTTATGAGTTTTTAATGTCCCCTTGTCATCTTCCGCCTTTTTTTAAATCTATATATTGGTGTCATGTAATATAAGTATTTAGAAGAATCATTATTTTGTTATTTTTCTGTTTCAAAAAATGTAAACTTGAAACTGTGAACATTGTTTAATAAAGAAATTAAATTGCAAATTTAAAGAAATTGTTATTCGAATAAAGGGACCCTCTGATTGTGTCTCACATTTCGCTCAATTCAACTAAATGACAATAATGCTTATCTATGTAAAAACGCAAGTAAATTCAAATGTATGCAATAAAATTGAGAATGGAAATGGGGAATGTGTCAAAGAGACAACAACCCGACCGAAGAGCAGAAAACAGCCGAAGGCCACCAATGGGTCTTTAACACAGCGAGGAAATCCTGCATCCAGAGGCGGGCTTCAGCTGGCCCCTAAACAAAAATGTGTACTAGTTCAGTGAAAATGGACGTCATACTAAACTCCAAAACATATAAATGAACTAAAATTAAAAAACATACAAGACTTTACAAAGGCCAGACAATAGTTCTATATCAGGTTGTATTCCAAAGCTACACCTCAATGGAAGACTAACATATGATTTAAAATTATTCAGACTACTCTTCTAATCTTTCCACATGTGATTTCGATCACTTTGTCTTTTAAGTATCTACCATATCTAACATGCAAACCTGCAACAGTTTAGAAGTAGTTTTACAAAATAACATCCTGATTTTCAGCATTTGATACGGTGCATTTATTTTAACGATTCCAACTATCTAAACTCTTTAGAGCCGATAATTTGGAACTGTAAACACCTTGAAATCTTGTTTTATAAATTTAAGAAGGTATAAATAAGTCCCATTTAAAAACAATACGTTAAACTTCTCAGAATTTATGTGCATGTACTTGTCAGCAACAAATTAAAGAAGCCAGGGTAAAGTGTTATACCTTATTCATAAATACTTCGGAAAAAATCAATTAACCATCAATCAATTAAATCTAGAGGAAATTAAAGGAAATGCACGAAAACAGTTATAAATTTGTAAGTATCTAATTTACTGTCAATTTATATATTATTTTTAACAGGCATCAACTTATGAAGTTAATATAATCCTGTATCAATCATGCAAACATAAACATTATCTTCAATTTTCTACTTTAACTTCTTTGGACTTGTATGATACATTAAGTCTAAATTATTGCTTCTACTCTTTTCTGTTTACTAATTAGTCAGAGGTATACCTTCAACGACTTTATTTGATTATCTATATTAGTAATTTTATAAGAAAGTATAAGAAAACTTACTCAGAATTGTAATTTTAGATTACAAAAGAAGAACTATATGTGTTTTTTATGAATTAGTTACTTTATTTTATGACATAATTTTTTTTAATCAATTCAGTTTGGTAAACAGATGAAAAGTTATCTTAAAATTGTTAACGTCTAAAACTTATTTTATAATTATGTGAAATAATTAATTATTATACCCTTCCTAAAAATGGGGGCTATATTGTAATCACATTGTCTGACCGTTCATATGTTCGTCCGTATGTTCTTCTGTCCATACATCCGTGCATACGTCCATCTGTATCCTCGACTCCCCTAAGTTCGTCCACCTAACGAAAATCGCGGTGCATTTTCCACTACGTTTCCCGTATATTCCCGATAATTTGCAGTCATAAAGATTCAATAAAAATCTAAACTTTGACATGCAAAAGAATCAACAAAAGACTGTAGAATAACGAAAAAGCAACAGTGAACACTTACTTGAAATCAATGCCCGTTCTACTTTCAACCCTCAAGTTCGTCCACCGGATGTACCACCTTGTGACGTCACACAGATTAGGCCAAGCACCTTGCATTTTCGCCTTTTTTTGTTCAAATATAATTTAAAAAGGTAAGTATTGAAAAAAAGTAACAAAAAATAAAATTTAACGATAAAATATTCAACAAGTAACAATAACAAAGAAATTGGGCAAAAATGTCTATTCCATGTCCTTGCAATGCATGCAGTAAAACTTGGTATTTCTCCTCACAGCCCTCAGTTCTGTACAATATTTTAGATGTGTCCAGTGCTTGCACCTATAATTGTCACACTGCACCCATTTGGTAAGTTCAACACCAACTCCAAATCTAATTTGATTAGGGGTGAACTGTTTACATACACAGCATAATTCAATTTCAGGGATTTCTTCATCGTCTGTATCACTGAAGTCCATGGAATCATCTATATATATATGGCTAGGTCCTGGTTAAGAAGAAGTGTTGCTAGGTCCTGGTTTAGGAGAAGTGTTGCTAGGTCCTGGTTTAGTAGATGTGCGGCTAGGTCCAGGTTTAGTGTGGCTAAATCTTGGTGTAAGTGATGAAGCAGAAGTGGACGGTTTCTTTTTATTTTGTTTCCCAGTTTTCTTACTACTCTGGTTGGTTGATTTATTTTTTCCTTGGTTTTCAACATGCTGTTTTACCTTTTCTGCTACCTCAGTTTCAGTAATTGGCATACCGGATATAATCTTTCCAAGGGGTTTTCTTTCTTTCTTGTCATTTTCAGACTTAATTTTCTTTAGTTTGTTTATTCTTTCAGCAAAGAAGTGTGGAACAGTAACATCATGATCTTGCAAATCTTCAACAACTAAAATATCAGTCACAGCACTTTCAACAGCTTCCGTTACTTCTCCATTCGTATCAACCTCAACTACTTGTATGTTATCTGTTTTTGGTTCATCTGTAGTTTTTTTGCATTCATCATTTGCTGTAAATACCTCTGATGGTTTCAGTTGATCTGTGTTGATGACACTCTTATCCAGGGGGTATATTCCAGTTTTCCCAAATGCTGACTGAAGGTTTTCTGGGGATAGTGCATTCTGGTATGCTTTGCAGGCTAGTTCACATATGTTGTATCTGGTTATGACTGCGGAGTTCTGACGCATGGTTTTGTGACATTCATTATCATAAGTACGTTGCAACGGCCCATAACATCCAACATCCAAAGGTTGTAATATATGTGAGGTATGAGCTGGTAAGACGTGAATAATGATGTGGTGTTGCTGTTCCCATTCAAGTATATCAACTGCAACATGTGACTTATGCCCATCAAGGACTAGAAGTATGTTGTCATTGTTTCTGCCAGGGACATATTTAAGAAAATGGTCAGTCAAATATTGTCTGAATATATTGGTATTGGACCATCCTGAGTCTGATACTGCACCAACAGCACCAGGTGTTGCACCATTCATCAATTCATTCATCATTCTTTTACCTTCAAATACAAAATATGGAGGTACAGCAAATCCCGATGCACTTCCACAGCCAAGTATGGTCGTAGTACTAGACCTTCCAGATGTTACTGATGATGTGTTACATTCAATTCCAGATACAACATTAGGTGGTTTATGATTCAGTGTTATACCCTTCTCATCAATATTAAATATGAGATGTGGTTTATCCTGAAGATTATATTTGTGAACAACTTGCTCTAAGCTTGCAAAGTACTTTTCAACATTAGCAACAGAACCACATTTTGCACGTTGAATCTCCAAACTTCTAGGTTTAACCGCTCTAAGTTCTGGCCATCTTTTTATGAAACCCTCAAACCACCTCAAGGTAAGTTCTTCATTTCTTGGTTTAATATTGATTGTGTGGGCAAAATCAGTAGCCAGATCTGTAACTTCTTGTCTAGTATACCCATATCCATATGAAGCCATGGACTTTACATGTTCCACAATCCGTGTCTCCTCTTCAAGTGAAAAAACAGGTGCCCTCCCAGTGGTGACACAATCTGGACTTATTTTACCAGTGATTCTATCACGTAGAGTTTTCATTGGGACATTGAATTGTAGAGCTGCTTTTCTTTGAGACATTTCTTTATTCCGTACTGATATGTATGCATTAGTCAAAGCCGTGGGACTGTACAACCTGTACTTTTTATCATGCCTGAGGAAAGTAGGTTTAGCCTGAAATGTAATGTGATGCCTTTCTGGTTTATTGCTGTATTTTTTGTTTTAACATTGTGTATATGTATATATGTATATCAGTGTATGTAAAGTGCAAATTCTCAGCTAAATTTTGAGCCATCTATCGTTAATATTGATTAGGAATTAACAAAGTCATTCCCTTTTTTGCTACCATGATGTTGTGGGGAAACATACATATGGCATTAGAAGCCATTTTATGCCGATAATTCATCATTTTTCATAATCTGTGCAAAAAATCAATTAAAATTTCCATGTTTGTTAGTTACTATTTTAATGTTTGCTTGGCCTGTCATACTTTTGTGGGTCACGGGTCGTAATCACTGGAATGTAAACAAACCGGCAACTGGGCTTGGAAGAGATTTCCCCCGTGTTTTACAATTGTAAAGTCGATTTAAAGATAGGTAGAAAAGGGACTTAGTAAAAATGGCGATTTTGACAAAGATTTTTCTATTTTTATGACTATTTGCCTGTTTCAACCTCATGTTTTGGTTTCGCTTTTCCACGTTGTTCTTTACTATATATAGAACGCCGCTCAGCTGGAAAGTGACGTCACGTACGAGTCTTCCGCATGCGCGATAAATGTAAACAATGAAGGCGGACGAACTTGCGGGTTGGACGAACTTGAGGGGTTGAAGGATATTTCAAATCTTCGAATTCATACGATAACTCAAACTTGCTTTAATCAATTCAAATAAAATGTTAGCATAAAATTATGATTCACGGAAGAAAAGTCCTTTTCATTTGACTTTCCAGAGTTATGGGACTTTTTTCATTAAAAATTGTACATTTCTCAAATATAGTACAATAACTCAACTTTGCAGTGATACTTTTACCTGAAATTTTATCACTAGATTTGAATTGATCTGAGTGAGAACTTTTTAAATTTTCATGATTTTCACGTTTGTTATTCCAGATTTATGGGACTTTATTCATGAAAAGAAGTAGTGCCAGGAACTCCAATAAACGGCCCTATAGATGTGTTTTCCTCAAAACTTAACACTGATGTTGGGATTGACCAAAGGAAGCTGCCTTTTGATTTTAATGATTATCTAGAATGTCGTTCCAGAGTTACAGGACTTTAATTGTAAGGTTTAAGTAAATTTTTTCCCACGTTGTGTCATAATTTTAGAATGCTTGCATCTATTCACTGAAAACTTTACCCAATTGAAGTGATAGGTTAAAGTAATTAACTTATTTTTTTATTTGTCATTCCAGAGTTATAGGACTTTCACCGTCAGGTGCATGTCAAACACTATGTCTAGTATGCTTGGATCAAATTTCTACAAACTTTTCACTGTTGATGGGATTGGCGAATTTTGGCTTGCCTTTTGATTTTGAACATTTTCTCGTTTGTCGTTCCACAATTATTGGACTTCTTTACAAGACAAGACAAGACAAGACAAGACAATTAATTACAACTTAGGCACACTTATGGTGCTACAAGATGATAACAATTATACATTATTAAACAATTACATAACTAGACATTTGCAAGCAAGACACACAATAAATAAATTAACGATATCGTACAATAGAATTGAAATATACCATATTTGGTTGATTTTTTGCAATATTTTGAATTGCAACGTGAATAAAAATTTTATTTTAATACTACATTGTAACATGAAATAAATTATGAAAATATCTTTTCTAAATGTCTTAAAACGTGCACAGTTTTGTAAGAACTGGCACATTACAGTGTAACAATAGACCTATGAATTTTAATTGGGAAGGATTTTTTGTGTAATATGTAGGTATATACCTTTCTCTTAATGACATAATTTGTTCATTGGTACATGTAAAAAAATAATAATATTCGTCACCAATTGTATTTGAATCGCAGTGACAGCATATACGATCCTCTTTTGGTGTATTTTTCCACCGACCAACTTCAATAGTGATTTTGATATTTGAACATCTAACTCTACTGTAGTTATAACGATCTGCCACTTTAAGATTGAGTAAATATTGCTCTAGACGCATAAAACACACCTCTTGACGAGTTTGTCATATCAGCAAATAGACGCTGTCCGAGTTGGTCAACTAATCTCTGTTTTATTTCTTTTTTAATAACACCCTGTGCATTCCAGACAAAGGAAAATTCTGTATCATCTAGTATTTGTTTCAGAGAAGATAACCATTTAAATGAGTATTGACCTGAATTATGTATATGTTATACATCAACTGATACAAAATCCCGAATAATTAGCTTCTACCGATTTGCACTAACCTTGACCAAAAGCAAAGTAATTTAGTTTTAATATTAATTATTAGCGAGAATCTGCCAGTTTTCCCATAGACCATATAATTTGGTGTTGTTGATCTTACATTCCCTCTTCAGGAAACTTAAGTGCACCTTTTCAGTCATGTCAACATTCTCAAGACCCTATATTTCCGAGCCATAAAGTAAAATTGGAGAGACCATACAATCAAATAGTCGAAACTGCAGATCTGAAGGAATGTTTGCTTTTCTTAACTTGTAGTATAATGCGTTCATTGCTTTTTGTGACTGTTCAGCCAGTTTTTTCTTTGATAGATTAAAAGTACAATTGTATCTTATTAATAATCCCAGATAATTATAAGTGTCCTTGAGCTGTAACTCTTCGCCTCTTAACATAAATCTCAGATTTCTTTGACGCTTCGCCTTCTCAAACACCATTACGTTTGTCTTATCAATGTTTACATTTAGTTTCCAGTTAGCACAGTATTCATCAGCTGATTCTGCCAGTAATATGGTATCATCAGCATATAATAATAAAAAAATTCTAGTATACATGCCAAGTTTACTTAGACAGTATTCATTTACCTTTTCTAAACATGTTATATCATGCTGAATAAAATAGCTTTCAAGATCATTAATGAAAAGAGCAAACAGAAAGGGCGATAAGTTTTCACCTTGTCTAACTCCAACTTCGCACGGAAAGAAATATGAACAACCCGAGTTGTGTCTTACACATGATTTGATATTAGTATAGAGGTTATAAATAGAGTTAAATATTTTGCCTGTTATGTTACTAGAAATAAGCTTCTGCCACAGCCCTACCCTCCACACAGTATCAAAGGCTTTTCTGAAATCTACAAATGTACAGAATAAACGCTTTCCAGAGAGTAAATAAAGTTGAATCAAATTATATAAACTAAATATATTATCAAGTGTGGAGTGACCTTTCCTAAATCCCGCTTGGCATTTTGAAAGTAATTCAATTTCTTGTGCAAACTTGTCTAGTATATTATTTAGTATAGCTGTAAATACTTTACCTAAACATGATACCAGTGTTGTGTACATCAGAGAATAATGCATCAAACGAAATAACCTCAAACTCCTCAATATTCTTAAAAAGATTTGACGAAACTATAAAATAGTCAATTTTACTGTAGTCTTTCGTGTTAGCCTTACCTATACCCTTATCTGCCCCAGTCCAACCCGCTGCAATATACAAATTATTTCTCTTACAAAAGTCTACTAATTCATAACCCTTATAATTTGGACGCATTTTATCTTCTGAAAATCTTTTTAGTGGAATTTTTAATGAAATTAGATTTTGGTAATCATATAAAAAATTGATTAATTCATCGTTTAAATATTCATCTAAAACCTCTACCAAATTTTCATCTGGAACGACAAAATCCAAAAGGGTTCCAGTTCTGCCATTAAAATCGCCAATAAATGAACACAACTGTTCCTCATCTCTAAGTGTTACCATCTCCCTTTCTATTTCCTCGAAAGCATCTTTTGGTGCATATCTGCTATTTTCTGTTGGTATATAAACACATCCGTGTCATACTTAAAGGCAATAGTCATTATATAATATGACAACTAGTGTATTGTAAATTTCGTCATTTGAATGTCCGCCGGCCAGTTAAGAGAAGGACCATCAACACAAGGCCAAGTCATTGTCATAAAGATACGTAGGAAAAGGGGAATACTTTGTCGCTATTATACACAAATTAAGAATGATTTTTTGTTTCAAAAATTATATAAATTTAACTTGAAAATCGATACGGTATCAAACATTTTTAATGGAAAGGACATGATTTTGAAAATTTTGATTTACGGAAGGAAAGTGACCAAGTAGAGATGCGAAAAAAAATAATCTCATACGACTGTGAAACGATAAAGTCAAATAAACAAGATGATCTTTCGGCTTTAAAATAAATTATTTTGAAAGATTTTTTTTTAATTTTGATGTAAGAAAGCGTTAAATAAAATCTCAGAATATAATAAAAATCCTTTGACAAATAATCAAGGACTTTTAAATTTCTTTCTAGTTAAGTAACTATTTAAGACGCTTGGGTAGCAATTTGAATTTAGAATACAAATAATAACAATAAAAGTCTTTAACCAATACATTTATTTCAAGAGAGTAGCTTGTTTGGATTTGACCAATCTTACACAAGTTACTTTGAAAGGATATATAAATTCAACTACATTTACAGGGTTGGTTTTTAATTTTCTTCGGTACAACATCAATCTACTCAATTTTCTTTGTAATGTTCCCCTGCTTCATATTATGCCATGATTATGTGCTAAGCACTCCAGCATTTTAATTTGCAATAGGTGCAAAGAGTGATGAACTTTAATAAATGTAGTCTCCTCCATTTACAACAGCTGCTTCCCTCGAAAACTAACATAAATGGTTGAGTTATCTCGCATAGGTTTACGTACTAGTGTAACACAAACATATTAAGAAGAAATGTGAAAAAAAAATGTGTGGCGCCAATACGCTTCCTTAGAAATTTTTGTACATTAAATAGATTGTATTTAACATTCATTTGTTGCAGGTAATCTTTGGACATGTAATAATTCAAAAACTTTTCAACAATTATATATAGAAATCACCACCACGTAATTGTATTCGGAGTACACAGCAGAAAAATTAGGCAAACATACATTATCTTTCCAGTTTGGAGCTTTTGTAATTATCCCCCAAATTACAACCGTTTCCATAAAGATGTGACCATTTTTAAACTCTAAAATTTGTTTGCATAATACTTGATATTAAAGTGCACGTGTTAAAGTGAAGTACCAAGAAAGGCTTTAAAAGGCTCAGACTTGACAAAAATAATTCCAAAAAATCCAACAGCCTGATTTCTGCTTAAACAACAAATGAAAAAAAAATACGGCAGAAAACACTCACTGACACCAGAATTTAGCAGAGTTTAAATTTTTTGTGAGCGTTCAACCCTCCCTTTACATGGAATAGTGATACAACAACATAACAAACGAACAAACTGTAAAACAATAGTTGGAATAGGTTTGTTGTTTTTGTCGCTATATACATGCGATTTGTTTGTTTATTGGTTTGCAATTTTTTCTTGTGTTGTTCTGTTGCACTACTGTCCCGGGTGAGGGGTAGAGTTGGGCGCCACCAAACATATTTAACACTGCGAGTTCATTGGAGTTCATGCTATTTCCTCAATTTGTGTTTGTAACCTTAAGAAATGTCTTCTTATTCAATCCATGTGATTTGAACATAGGCAAACTACTATTGCCTTTATTAGATTGTTTCACATTTTGTCATCCCGAGGCCTATGATAGCTCATTATACGGTGTGGGGTTTTTGCTAATTGTTGAAGGTCATACGTTGACCTGTAATTGTTCACATCATTGTCCTTCGGTCTTTTAAATAGCTAATTGTTTCATTAATATTTATACCGCATCTCCTTATTTTTAAATATGTATTTGTGAATTTATAACAAACAACCCTTCCAACAACTTTCTATCATTACTATCAGTATCTTTGTACATTATTTGATAAGTAGGGATACACGATAAATGAACACGAGACAATATTCCGTTGAAATAATAAGAAATAATCAATTTATTAATGGAACAGAGCTTTATTTGCGGTCATCATCTTGACAGTTGGTGGAAGGTCTACAATGACGAGTTTAAGAGGCCACATCTTACAGCAAACACAAGACGGCTCCTATCGTCGACTTTATCGGTACTCTCTTATACTCATATATAATCGCTACATATCTTTTAAAAACGTATGTCATATGCATACAAATTTTAGTACAATAAAGGTGTTCTGCAAATAATAAGTTTGTTTATTATAAACAATTAAATAATTTATTTTCTATTGATTGAAATGTCTCACTTAATTCCCATGTACATCCATGTTGCCATGTTTGTAGAACCTGGCATTATTGTTGTAGTAGGATTCATTGCATTGTTATTTCCAAATGAACTTTGTGATCGAGTTCCTGCTGATCCAAAAAATGAATTTCCTTGGCCAAAATTATGATTTTGCCCTGGGGGTGTAGTTTGGACCATATTCATTCCTCCTCCCCCTGATCCCACGTTTCCTGTAGGGTTATTATTCAATCCAGTATTTCCCATTCCAGGATTGTTCGTGTTTCTCATAGGCCCCATGCCTGTGTTAGTCCATCCTGTGCCAGGATTAGTCATACCTGGCATTTGTCCATTACCTTGGTTTGGCATAGCACTTTTATCAAGAATGTGATCTCGGACATTTTTCGTGCCAGAATTAGCTATTCCCGTACTAGCCTTATTACTTGTAACACCTCCTGATGTAGAGCCAGTTATAAAACTTCTAGATTGGGGGTTAGGTTGAGTAATACCCGTTCCAGAATTTTGGCTTCCCATTCCAGAATTTGCATTTGCCAAGCCTAAGTTTTGGTTATTCATATTACTCATTGTAGTACCCATGTTTCCCATACCATTTCCTCTATTATTTCCCATTCTCATTTGTCCATTTCCCCATCCCTTCATTCCCATATTTTGATTTGTCATACCCATACTAGGATTTCCCACACCAGAATTCCCCATACCCATACTAGGATTTCCCACACCAGAATTCCCCATACCCATACTAGGATTTCCCACACCAGAATTCCCCATACCCATACTAGGATTTCCCATACCCATACCAAAATTTCTCATACCCATGCCAGGATTTCCCATACCCATACTAGGATTTCCCATACTATTCATTGAAGAACGCATACCATTAGAGTTCATATTATTGGGAGTCATTCCATTTAAGTTTCGTCGGTTCATTCCGTTTCTAAATCCGCCACCATTGTTTCCCATATTCCCCCCATTCCAACCCATATGGTTAAAACCAAAACCTCCCTGTCCCATCATTGGGAACTCTCCCATCATTTCCATTTGTTCAAACTCTCTTACTTTGCACGTGTTCATGCACCGTGTTATAGAATTAAATCTGTTTCCATTCCCGCCGCAACCAGTATACATAAATGGCGTACATGCTTCTCCAACAAATGCATACTTTTGTACTTCCAGTTCACAGTTGAAACCTCCACTTCCAGCTCCCTCATTTAAAGGTTGTTTGCACCTGCATTCTTTATTACATTCACGTATGGTTGAAAATCCCTGATAGAAGCAACCTCGATTCATAAAACATCTACCGGAAGCTTCACTGAAAAACCATCGTTGCACAAACATACCCATACACATACCACTTCGAGGCATATCAAAGCAGTCTAATAATATAAAAAAAATCTAAACGTTATCAAGAAATAAAACGAGTCGTATTATTTATGATATAACATGTTTAAAGCACACAAAATCCTAATTTAGCTTGTTTCCGTTAAGGCATGCCACTGACAAGAAAACTTAAACCAAATGGTAAAAAATACCAACAATCTTGTATATGCATGTTTTCTGGTGTATTGTTGTCTCACTGGCAATCATACCACATTTCCTTATTTTCATATAAGTAAGATAATAGAGGTTGCTATAGAATAAGGAGATATGGTATGATTGCCAATGAAACACCTATTCACCAGAGTCAAAAGGGCGAGAGTGTCAACAACTACAGGTCATCGTACGGCCTTTCATAAGGTGAAAAATCCAGGTTGTTTTCTTAACTCCAGTGTCACATATTCCATGCATATTTAGGACGAGAACAACTTAATAATAAATTTCATTAGTAGATCTGCAAAGAGTATCGAACGGGAAATTTTGATTACCACATTAAAATTTAGGGTTTGTTGATTAGATGCAGAAATGCACAAGGCATTGAACATAACGTCTCCATTACGACCGGATGTGAATGCGTATTTATACATCCCGCACGGCGAAACGGACGCATCTTAAGCACTTAAAGGATATAAAAGGAATAGCCAAATTCACATATGATTAACTTCGCTTGTGGGAGTTAGAACCTTTATTTCTAGATAGTTTTCCAGTGGTTTACGAGATGATTGTTTCCTTCCCACCATTAAAAAAAACCAAAACAATATGGACGAGACACACAGACTGTGGATGTCTAGTGACGACAATATCTCATACTAGACATAAAAGCTTAAGTACAGAAAAGAAAAAGGCATGTCCTTTTCTAAAATCAGGAATAATAAAATTATAATTTTCAAATCAGCATATAGATGAAAAAGAATTGCTGCAAAACCTTTCTAAAACTTTGCCGTGCAGTTATCTGTCGTATTTACAAGTAGACTCAGACGCCTCACTAATGAATCCAATACCAGACTTAAATGCAATATTGTGATTAGTTGGTAGTGTACGTAATCAAGTACTCCATAGATTTTTTTAAAATTTTACATATGGATTCTGCTTGTAAAAATATATCAGAAAATAAAATAAAAAAAGGGGGTAACCGTTTTCGTTTTTTAGATACAAGCTGTGGAAATTAACAGCTAGCATGATACGCCAAAAATACAAAGGATATATAGGGAAAATCATAAAAATAGGCAGATATTTTTACTTTATCAAGATTTTCTATTTCGTTGGTCCATAAAGTTTTTTTAAAAATCGATATACCATTCAAAAATGAACGACGAATCCATTGATGCAAAGAAAGTCCCTAGCAACCGTGCTAGTTTTCAAGCTATATCCTGTGGAAGTTTGATTTTTAGCGGAAAAAAATAAAAAAATATTCGGCAACGTTATTGATGTCTACTGTAACGTCACCACAACTTCTACTCTACAACGCTATTATACAGTACAGTGTCGACACAAAATCGTGAGTGTGTATAACCCTTTTCATAATTATTGCAAATGCTCAAGCGTAATCAATAAATAAGGAAATAAACTGACTAACTTATAAGGCTATTTCTGCTGCCAGAAAAAAATGCAAATTTGCAAAAAAATATACTGCAAGTGAAAGAACGTTACTGTATATAGACTCTAACTCAATCTTTTCTAAATTAGACAGGGTTTCACATCTTATTTGAAATGCTTGTATTGTTCTAATTTTTATGAATCAAATATCGAGTTTGAAATTGTCCCGGTTAACACAGCGTTGACAGAATGATTCTATACATATTTGAATAATCGGTTTTAATATTGAGATCGCGTATAAACGTCTTTTCTTAATCTTATTTCTGCATGTCTGAAATATAATTTTCTGCATCTTTTCATCCTCACCATTTCCGGCGCTATTCGAGGTATTGCGCACAAAACCCATTCTATTTGTCAGGTTCACACACGTACACGTGACACAACTCTGCAATTTTATTTAAAAAATTTCCTGTCTCGATCGCTTTCCCTTTAATTTTCTTTAACTACACGACAAAGCATGATATAATTATTTGTTAAATATTCACATCCAAAAAATAAGGAAACTGCATCTGCATATTATCTTGAGAAATTTTTATGTCTGTAATAAGGTCAAAAGAAGAACCCGCATATGAATTTCAGCAAAATAAAACAGATCGGAGTTTTTGATATAACTTCCCGTAGCACAGCTCATTCCCAGTGTTATGCCTTAGCATTGTGTATATCGTAATGATATAGCATTGTGTATAGTGAAATGCTAAAGCTTTGTATATAGTGATATGCTATAAATGTACTGGTGTAATGCTATACATGTACTGATGTAATGCTATAAGAATGTGCCAAGGGCGATGTTATGAGAATGTATCCATCCAGTATGATGCTTAATAAAATGTACCTAGTGTAATTTTATTAGAACGTACCTAGTGTAATGCAAGGAGACTGTTCATAATGTAATGCTATACGAGTTTACCTAGTGTAGTGTCATACGAATTGTGCCTGTATATAATACAAATGAATTGCTTTTTTCTTAATATAATATAAAAATAAGGAGATGTGATATGATTGCGAATGAGACAACTATCTACAACAGTTAAGGTAGATCGGGTGTCTTTTTCTGAGCGTCCGTTCTGGTCATGTTGCAAAAATACTTTTTAGTTTTAAAAATATTTTACCAAGTATCATTCAGTATACAACTTGAAATTTAAAGATTGAACTATCAAAAAATTAAGTGTCGTAAAGTAAATTTAAATATTTTAGGGATTTTTTTTTCAAGGAAATAAGGCCCGTGACCCCCTATTTTTATTTGATATTTCAGAAGTATTAATGAAAAGCAATTCTCTCACCGAATTTTAGCCAATTCTATCGTTTAATGTTTCCTCGATAAGAAAAATTAAGTTTCCCCTATAAACAATATAAAATAACCCAAATTTCGTTAATTTCAATGTATTATTACGAAAAAACAATCTCCGTGATCCCCAGTTTTTATATTGAAATTTGAAATTACATTGACTCAGAAGAAGTCTTTTACAGAAGTTTAAGAAAAATCTATCGTCGAACATTTAGACACCCCAGCTACCTTAAATGAAGTGGATGTAAGCAATTATAACAGGCAACCATATGGCCTTCAACAATGTGAAAAATCCATACCGTATAGTCGGCTATAAAAGACCCTGACATTGTATACATTATTTTCTTCACCCCTTCCCCCTACCTTATACTCTTATACTGTATTCTATCATAATTTTCAATTGAGACTTGAGAAGAAATATTTTACCTCAAAATTGTATTCACTACTTCTGAATGACACAAAAGCACAACAAAAGAAAACAAATGTCTCTATCCATTCGAAATTGGAATTTGATAAAGAAAAAAAAAATAACATGTTCATACATTTTTTTCATACATGACTTTGTGTAGTTTCATTTTCAACCATGGTTCTAAATTTAGATGACACCTGTTTATTTTCTGCCCCTTTAAAACTTGATTTGGATGACATAAATTTTACTTATTCTGAGATAAATGTTATAGTGCTCAATTCTTAGTTTCTGTGTGATGTTTTATGGACGGAATCTGATGTATTTTGTTTTTGCTGTTGGCTTTGTTCTTCGACTTATAAATGTTGCACTAGTGGTCGAATACCCCTTAGTATCTTTTATACTTTTTACATAAAAAACGGACATGATAACGTCTTTCTAGTTCAACACACAAAGTCACATGCAATATAATTATTCGTTACCTACAATTTTACGCTACACGGTGAATTTCATTCAAAACTATGGTTTTTCAAAAAAAATTGTGGGGTCAATTCTGGGTTAATTTTAATGAATTTGATACGAAAAGAAGCAGAATTTTCAATGGTTTATATGTTAATTTGGTTTTAATTTTGTTGTTAGGCGTTTTTACTTTCTGTTGAAATAAACACGAGTCGTATTGTGTACCTGCTCCTGTGTGTCTAAAACAAAATCAGTGGTAATAGAGTCAGACTAACTCACAATAGGATACTCAGATTTCTGATTAGAGTCATTCTGATAATTTCTTTGAAGTTTTGAGATAGCACTGGAATACTTGTTTGAATTCGTGATAGACCGCACGAAGTCATTTCTCTTTCATGTGCCCATTTTTCCTTTCTTGGAGTATGGGAGATAACTCACGTAACTAATGACGCACGTTTTTTATCCCAAATTCCGCTAGAGGCGTGCAAATACGTATACTTCGCCTTAGATGAGTTTCTTTAACTAAGGATAAATTTATACTCTTCATTTCTTGAGGCTTCACAAAGTTCCTGGCGCTTCTCGCTTTCAGAACCTATGAAGCTATTTATAACTTTTGGTCTTTAAAATTTACCGCTCCATCAATAATAAACATTCACTGCTCTATCAATAATATGAATAGTCTGTGGATTAAACTTCGACCACTCAATCAATAATAATTTTAAGTAGTCTGTGGAATAAACATCGATCGCTCAATCAATAATATAACTAGTCTGTGGACTAAACATCGATTGATAAATGAATAATATAACTAATATGTAGTCTAAACACCCATCGCTCAATCAATGATACAATTAGTCTATCAAAATAACAAATGCTTACTTCTATCCATTTTGCCAACAGCTCCAGCAGCTACAGGTTTTGGTGTTGCTTTTCTAGCTTGAGCATCAACATTCCTTGCATACAAGAGAACACATACTAACAGAGCTAACTGCTTCATCTAAGATTTGATTTGAATACAATAACCGTTCTGGATAGTTTCAGCAGAAAATATTGGGCTACAAATAAATTCAGATTGGGATTTTTCAAAACAAAAGATTTAATTTTTTTCAGACATATATGATTTGATTAAAAAAGTTAAAAATGAAATGCAACGAATGTATTCAAACAATTTTCCGACATGTAAATATGGTATATCAAGTTACAAAATAAATGCCTATCTGAAGTTCCCTCCTTTCTTTCTTTCTTTAATTGTATAAATAAAATACTATGTGTTTGTTACTATTTCATTTATTTGCGCGGTAAATTTTATTAAAGCATTACAAAATACCATGTTCACGTAGTTTTTGGTCATTAATTTTCCCGTCCTATGGCTATTTGTAACTTCTGATTGTTTCCTCGTCACTTCTCACTTCTATTTATAAACATTTGCATAAATATACACGTTTATTTTATCTCAACCAAATGTATCATTAAAACCAAACAAATAGAATAAGTATTATGCAGGACCGTATTTTTAAAGCGGTTGTATTTTCAAAAACAATAATTTCCTGGAAAATGCGTTTTTTTGCAACTGATTATTGGGAACATTCATTTATTTAAAACAATATTTTTGAAGGAAAGATATAAATCATTAGACAGAAAATTCTTATAGAATGAACCTGTGATGTCATTATTACATTAATATATTAATATATTTGACCTTAATTGTCATTCGTTTATGTATAAGTTTAATATGAGCTATAACCTAAACCAATGTCTGTTGAACATTTGAAAGATGTCATTTGAAAGAAGATTTATAGTATATTTTGATTTTCGAATTCATAGGGCCAAAAAAGGTAGCCTTATCATACCTGAATTAAATATCTAAATAAGTAATCAAACTTACATCAGCTTCCTGTGTGCCTCGTTCTACATTTCCATATATATCATGTCTACTTCATGACTGGCTGAATTAGTATGATGTCAGTTGTTACCACAAGTTTGCATACTAATGTTCATTTGCAATGTAGATTATTTTTTAAATACCCATATACGTTGGTGTTGCAGAATATACATATTTCTCATTCAGAAAGTATCTCTTTATTCGAACAATTTATTTTACAGAATTTCAAACACGTGCTATCGAAAAGGAATTTTATTTCAATTTTTATAACCATATTTTCTATGCTATTTATTATTATTCCTACATATCCATATTGAAAATATAAAGAAATTTGAAGTTTGTGTTCCTTTTTATAGTGTAAAATAAGTATCTTATGGCCAGAGTTAAATTTTCTTTTACGGTTCATCTATATAGATATTATGAGTGATGCGCTATCATCTCTACAGCAACATCGTGACAATAATTACAGTGGAACAATTCTATGATTTTACACAGTAATCTAGGTTTTTTATTCTGGATTAACGCTCACAATTATGTAGAAAAGGTGGTAAACAATTATTAACAAAAGGGTGGTATAAAGTCAATTTACCATTAGTATCGGGAATACAATACCGAGTAAAATACAGCAGGCGATTCTAGATTTTTTTCTTTAGTAGTAAAATGGTTCAACAGTTTTCTCTAACATTCATTATTTATAAACAACCACTACATGATTTGTGTGTGTGTGTGTGTCTGTGTGCTTTCTGTTTCTGCCGAAAGCACACATTAGGACAGTATTCATTTAAATCTTAACTATTTAAGTACATTTTACCAGTTTAAAATGTCGTCTTGTCTTGAAATCAATTTCTCAAGTATGAGCAAAGTTTTTCTTTTAATATGCAGTTATTTTTAGTGGTTGCTGCTTGGATATCCGTCATGGTTGCTGCTTGGACATCCATCATCTAGTAGTAAGACCCTAATTGCTCTTTGTACGTCTGACGTAAAGCATGTATCAGTAAAGATGCTTACATGAAGTTATTTGAGTAGGAATACGACATCGTGGTGATATTTTTTTACTTTTGAAATAGATTTGTAACAGGCGTGGTTAAGTTTAGATATTAACATGGAGCTTTCGGCGAGTTACAGACAAGGCTAATTAATTGTTGTCGTGTATAAAACATTTATTTATAGAAGATATTACACAATAAGCAAAGAGAACGATGATTTATAATGTAATATCAAATATTTTATTACGTTCTATCCTTTTTTTAATCAGGATTTTATTCTAGAAATTTATAACGTATTAAATCAAACTACTGAAGTACTGAACATCGGATGACTGCAAGTTCTGGTGGATAGTCACAGGCACTTGTCTCAGAAAAAATAAAATATCTCTATACCTGAAAATTAGGTTAAGGTACATAGATTTATTTTTTTTCTGAAACAAGTTCCTGTGTGGATGATGAATAAATGACAGAGAATTCAACCTCACCGTAATAATTATTATATTGTAGTGATATAATCATGGGACAATAATTTGTTATCAGTATATTCTGGTTTGTTGTTATATATTATATTAATATTTGTACAACAGTTATATATATAGCAGATCATCTTAATAACTCTACCGGCAAATTTTCATCCATTTATACCATTATTCTATTCTACTATTCTAATGATAGTGCAGTGCAAGTGCATGGTGGACCCTCTTCTGTAATAATTCGTTTTTCTAATAAATTTGATTTGAGTAGGCATTCATATTTCCCCCGCTAATGAATATGTATTGATGAAATTAATATATATCAAGCGATAAGAGATATTCATCCGCAATCAAAAATTTTCGGTACGTGTGCATAGATATTAATGATTTTTTTACTTATATATATATATATATATATATATATTTCTCAAAACAAAACATTTTCATATTATTTATTTGTGTTCTTAAAAAATATTTTCATGAGTATTCATTGAAGATATGAATTTATAACAAGCGATAAGGAATGTTATTCTGCACTCGATAATATCCGCGTATTTATACGAAATACGTTCAGTTATCAGTCAAAAACGCAAGTCACGTGGGTAGAAATGTCTGCGGCAAAATATATTAACACCGGAATGCCCTCAAGGTCATCCGCTGTAAAAATAGGTAGATGTTTATTTTCCAAAGGTTTCTATCAAAATACATATCCTTAACACTACATAACATCAACTGCGTATTTCAAAATAAATCTTCCGTTCTATGGCTATATAAAAGTAGTGACGTATAATTTAATGACAACTTTTATTTACCAATTTTTTAACAGAAAAAAAGCAAACTGTAAAATGTAAATATGCATATGTTTGTTATCACATATGAACTTGGATTATTGTTGTTTTTATCAAATATAAATAATTTAATCATAAATTGTATGGTCACCACAAAGTCCCAACTAGATTACCATTGTCCATAAAACATTCGTATTAAATAAATACAATGCCTTTTATTTTCCATGGCATAGGTTTGCGTAAAATGATAAGTTTGACGTTTCACAAGAAATAGTTTTGATCAGCAAGAAATTGAAATTATTTTTTCGTGGCAGAATGTTTTTATATTTTTTATCTTTTTGTAAACCAACTCGACATTCAAAACATATAACCACATAATATTTTTTTTTTGAACTTATACTATAAACTCTGCATTTTTTTCATAACACTTTAATAACTGAAAAAGTATAATTTTGTACACTTGGAATTCAATCCGGAAAATTTTGTTCTTTGAACAGGGACGAAAGTTTGATTTACATTTATTTTAATCGATCTCCAGTTTCATATTCTTGAACATAACAAATGTATCATCGTCATCTAAATGACAGTTAGTTTTTATGTGTTAAGTGACATATTTAAACAGCAATATTATTCATCCAAGACGGTTGAATTGGTGATGATATTTTTCGTGACCCACCAGTCATACTTGTTGCAAATCCTCGGCCACCTCCTGTAGGAAGTTCACTCATTACTCCTCCTCCACTATTGACTCTAAAACCTCCTGGGTTGACTTTTCCTCCTGATTTTCCCGACAAAGAGTTCATACTAAATCCGCCTCCACCTCCACTAGTCATTCCTCCACCTCCCATTGACATGCTTCCACCTCCCCTTGGCATGCCTCCACCTCCACTAGTCATTCCTCCACTTCCCATTGACATGCTACCACCTCCCATTGGCATACCACCACCTCCCATTGACATACTTCCACCTCCCAATGGCATGCCTCCACCTCCACTAGTCATTCCTCCGCCTCTCATTGACATGCTTCCACCTCCCATTGGCATGCCTCTACCTCCACTAGTCATTCCTCCACCACCCATTGACATGCTTCCACCTCCCATTGGCCTGCCTCCACCTCCCATTGACATTCCTCTACCTCCCATTGACATTCCTCTTCCTCCCATCGACATTCCTCCACCTCCTATCGGCATAGCACCAGAGCTTCCAGAGAAACTAGTCATACCCCCTGTAGCCATGGGACCGGATGATTGAACACTTAATGTCCTTTTGCCACCTGTAACGATTGGTCCTGATGACCAAGATTGCCTCGTTTTTTCTGCCTTCACGAGACCAGGTCCCGTTAATTCGCGTCCAATAATATTACGATTGTTCGCTCCTCCAGGTATGTTTGCTGACCTTGACATAGCTTGGAAGACACCTTTATTTAAAGCTGGTGCGTTTTCATTATGTAGCCATACGGTTCTACTGCCACCAAATTTTTTTCCGAAAGTTCCGCCCATACTTCGGTCCCCGGAAATAGAAGTTATTTTCATACTTCCCCAATTAAGTCCTTTTGGTTCGAGGTTTATTGTGAACGACCCTGAACAAATTTTATTACATTCCTCGTATGATTTAAAATTATTACCATTCCCTTGGCAACCACCATACCAAAACTTTTCACAACATCCGCGAGATGGATTATAATACCATCTTTCTTTGATAGCCTTGCATGGTCCGGCATCTGGACTTACTTGGCATGCACAGCTCTGGATGCAGTCATCCATTGACATAAACCTATTATCATTACCACCGCATCCTCCATACATAAACTTCTCACACTGGCCTGTTTTTGTGTTGTAATAGTAGTTAGGTATGCTGGCCATGCATGATCCTTTCATCACTGGTAAGGTACATCCTGTTAATAATAAATGGTTTTGGTGTTCAACGAATGAATGTATGTTTATAGCAAAATGTAAGTTTCATGGGTTCTTAATGGTAAAGTTAAAGTCTTCCGTTCGAAAGTTTCACGAACGCAATCATGATGTCGTTATGGAATATATCTGTCATGTGACCTAAGAATATATATTGCCTTCACAACTTTATTACTGCACCTGCCGGGATTCGAACCCGGAATCTCTGGCTCAGTAAGCCACCGCTCTACCAACTGAGATAGAGAAGTACTCCACTAGCACAGTTAATGGAAGGCGGATATATATCTACTTAGTAAGGGGAACTACAGTCACTGATTTTTACGGATATGTTCCATATGCATATGATTCCGATTATGGCATAACCGTTTGTGACATTTTACCAATTTGTTTTACTTGCCATCTTCTCCCCCTTTTTAAAGGATCCTTGTTATTGTCTATTGTTGTTAATACATTGATGTTTTTGTTTGAACTTGAGGAAACTTATAGAACTTGGCATATTAAATAGTCACTTGTACAAAACCTTTGCTATTGTAGTGTTTGCTTGTTTTGCCATTGGTGTATACCTTACATTTTATTTGCTTACCCTTCCGGAGCACCCGTGATCACCATAGGTTTTTTGTTGGGGATCGTGTTATTCTATGTTCGGTGCTGTAGACTATTGTTTCTCTTTTCGTCGCTTTACGTTTTTTAGCCATGGCATTGTCACTTTGTCTTCGACTGATGAGTTCTAATATCCCTTTGGTATCTTTTATATTCTAGATAAACTTGACTTTACACATAACAAAGCAAGCAGGACGGTCCATTTGACTTTACACATAACAAAGCAAGCAGGACGGTCCGTTTGACTTTACACATAACAAAGCAAGCAGGACGGTCCATTTGACTTTTCTTTATGTTTTCCTTTGTTATCTTATAATCGTAAAACATTGTAAGTTCATGTCTAATCATTTTGCTCAGATTTTGGAACTGTATTGGTAAAAAATTGTTCGGTGAAGACATTGCCGAACTGATTTTCTTTCTTTCTTTTGTATGTTTCTCTTTTTGTTTTTTGTTTTTTGTCTTTTGTCAGTTTCTGTCTAAAACCTTGTCTGAACTAAAATATATTTAATGTAATTCTTCTCTCTAAGCATAATATACTTGTAATCTAATGATTTATTACTAAACCTGATGTATCTTTGAACTTACTTTCTGGATCTGCAATTACGTAATTGTAAGTTAAATCCGAAATAATGAAAGAAAGAAGGTACAGCAACTGAAATAAATGAAGTTAACAGACTATGAGTGACATTAACAAAGGATATACATGATTGATTAAGCAGTGACTGATACAAGACACCGTACAATGAAAAAAATTTAATTTTGTATCACCATATAGGCGTATTGAATATATATGCTTAAAATCTTGATGCTTTTGATAAAGAAATATTTTATTGTCTAAACTATTACGTTACAGTGTTCATAATTGAACAAAGAACACTTACTCTGAACAATTTTCTTTAAAATGGTTTGTTTTATTGTATGAAAACTTAAATCCCAAAACTGATGAAAATATTGTCCGACTTGAGCCATTTATCATTCTGATCTTGGGATCAAAATTAAAAAAAATTGCATCATTTGTTACACTCATCTGATTTTTCTAGTATCAGAAAAGTACAAATTTGTTCATGTTATGTTATTAATTTTGATAATACTGAGTTTCAATCAATTCAGTCTAAACTTTCGTTTACTTCATATTAAAGTTTACTTATTCCTTTCTTACCTTCATTTTCCCAGTTATCCAACACGTATTATCTTTATCGTTCTATTTGACAACTAAATCTTACGTCAATATTTTATGAAAATGTAGGGGAAAAGTTTGGGACAATTTTCAGCTAATCTGACTATTGCATGAACATACCAACATATTATCCCTTATTAGACCTCCGTACAACATACTTTGATTTGACAGAGGTGTCCTAAAGTGCATCAGTGAAAGATGTTGTAACTGTCGTGAGTCAGGCCAAAATCCCTACAGCCATCACTGGTGATCTGTACCAAATTTGTCATCTCTTTCTTTACCTACACTTGTATCATTATCTTTCAATATCTTTAGGCTAAAAGTAACAGTTAAATACACATTTCATGACGCGGTCATTGTGTTTAAAGGTTTTCGACAAGTTTAATATCCAGTGCTAACATCAACTGTCTCCATGTACCTTGCTACTTTATTTGTAGTACAACATTTATAACTCTCCAGACCTATACAATAACTATATAATAACATAATTTTTTATAAGAATTTTGAGTGATTTGAATTGTATGTTTAATGTTAATATAATGTGTATTGTTGTAGAATTATTTCGAAGAACTGACTTACAGCTAATTTGATTGCTTGATTCGTTAGATAATTGTTAAAGCAGGACGAGCGTCAACACTGGTGAAGATTTATATGTTTAGATCGCTGCAAGAGCTCTCTAACATAAAGATAAAATAGTTCAGACTCATGGTTCATTATCCGACTTGAACTATCTTTTAAAACAAAATGACTTATATGCCAATAACATTTAATGTTAAAACTGGTGATACGAATTATAACAACTCATATTTTAGAATATGTTCGGTTTTTTTTTATCAAACATTTCTAAAGCATAGAGTACTTAATGCTAAAGGTACGCATTTGCCATATTTTCAGGAAAACGCATGTCTCAAACTGAAGAGATATAATTTAGATTGAGCAGGTTGTTCTCGCTCTTAGAAGCATATTTTCTGCGTTTGAATACAAATGCATTGTGTATACACTTTTGAAAATTAAATCTATTATGTATACTGATGAAACGAATTTGCCGGATTTTCAGGGAAAGTTAGGCTTAAACGGAAAGAGATATCTCGCACAAGCGTATACACTCTTACAAGCATAATTTTATGCGTTTAAATACAAATGCATTGTGTTTGCACTTTTGAAAATTAAATTCTCCGAACCTTAAAAAATTTAATTTTTTAACATTACAATATTCATAGTACTTATATGCTATATATAACACATTGTATATGGCCGTTCAACTTGTATAATCTTTAGATATTTAACCATTCTGATGGTTCGTGTTTGTGTTGTTTATAATTATTGACAATTAACATTCAAATGTAACAATTGTTATTATATATATATATTTTATTGTGAAACTACCCCTTTACAACAGGGGCAAGCGCCAGCGGGGTACTGACACCTGCGTCATCAAAAACATAGTATTTACAAACAACATTACTAGTATATGATTGTAATAAAAATGGTACAAGATACTTGCAAATATTTAAAAGTCTAATAAATAAATTATCGCTAAAATAACATAATACATTGGTTATTCCGTAAAAGTACATTACAGTAACAAATTCATATTCATATATTATTGGAGATCTTTCTGTCATCCATACAAGATAAAAAATTTCAATCTTGAAACTAAAAAAACGTTCGCACACAGTTCATTCATAACGTCTGTAAGGTATTTTTTCCCGATCTTATCTAAACTAATACCTAAGTCTGGAGAATACAAGTAACCCAGATCACCTATCATGAACTGTATTTGTGCTAAGGGCGGCAACTCTGAAAAGCAGATATCTATTTTTAAACTATCGAAACATGCTTGTGTGTCAGTACTTGTTCTTTTTCTGATAGACGAGAAAGAAGGACAATCTAACATAACGTGAAAAATATTCTCAGTCGCATTTGAGGAACATAACTGACACTCATTGTTTGTTATAAGATTCATTCGTTGAAGCGTGCCATTTATAGGCAGACAATTCGTTCTTGCCAAAAATTTTAGCCTTGTTGAGCGGAAGTCGTCAACATTTGATAAATACAGCTGCTTACGTTTAACAACCACAAATGATTTGTACAAGTTTAAACTACTCTTTCCTAAAATATTGGATAGTTGAGTATTGGTCGTTTCGTTACCGTAAATTTTATTAAAGATATTAACGCTTATGTTTCCGTTTGCATAATGGTCGAGACCCGCAGTCTGTAGAAGAATTTCAATATTTTCTATATATTTCCATTCATTACATTTAACAGGTATAATTTCATTTAGGATAATTTTAGACAGTCGATTATCGGTTAGGTTTTTTAATCTAGCGTAGTATGCAATTCTTTGTCTATCCATAAATCTATTTATTGACTCCTAGCCAAATTCAGCTAGTAGCGCACATTTAGGGATATTCATTTTTGTAATTAGATTGTCTCGCTTTGCACAGTCACAATTTTAACTGCCATAGTTCAGTTGCTAAATACGTTACCCATAAATACCAGCAATAAATATGGGGTTATATACCTTTGAATTTGGAAAACTAATATTACATGTTTAAGGAAATGTATGTTGAAACGATTGATTGTGCTAGGTATCAGAATGCCCATTAAACTTAAAAGACAACAATGTTTTTTTGAAAGTTTACGGCTCTGAAAGGAAAACGTGTGCTATCATTTCATATCGAGTTAAAAATTATGACTGTAATCCGTTATCGTACATCAGAGGTTAAATTAACTATATCGCTAAAATTTTTAACAAGTGAGGTCTAACAGTAGAATGGTATGCTATCAAATTTAATACACTACACTACGCATAAAAGATCAAAACAGTGGCACCGTTCTTATACTTTGGAAAAAAATTGAAAGGTTTTTTTTCTCTGCAACGACTGCAATTTAGTTGCCCAATACTTGGCTTCAAGGTTCTGTACACGACTTCAAAGTCAAACATTTGATGTGATTAGAACTGAATCATGATAGGTACATTGTAACCCAAGCCCTTATATAAATTAAGAGTTGTTCCCACAAGGAAAAGCTAGACTACTTATCAAATCAGGACTATATTCAATGTTTGATGCAGAGGTTATCTCGAATGGCGAAATCGAGAATATGAATTAGGAGTTTTGAAAAGTTAGACCTATTTATAGTTGGAAGTTAACAGAAAACATGAACTTTTAAATTTATTTTTCAGAGGAATAAAACATAAAGAGTCTAAACATGTTTATTTTCAGTTGATTTTAATTCATCATTCAAAACTAAATATCTATAAAAAACAAAATATTCAGTGGTTTGCCTTTATGTAATCTGAGTTAAGAATATGTATGATATAGAAGTTTTAATTTTTTGTTTTTGCTACAGTCAGAAATCAACAACGAAATGTTGATTGATAGATGAATTCAGTATAGAAAAGCATATTTATATATTACATACATATTATAGGTACATTACAGAATATGTACTGCAAAATATTTTTTGCTGTCAATCAGGGAACAATCATCAAACATTGACATTTAAACATTAAACTGTGTAACTATCTGAAATATGCATGGAAAATTAGATCATGTATTGTGAATTAATTGTACCTTTATTACATTATACATGTATTGTTCTCTGCTATATGTCGTTTTGTCACATTGTATATACTTGTCTATTTATTGCCATAGCATGTTATTTATGCTTTTGCAAATAAAATATTCATTCATTCATTCATTCATTTTTTAAATTCATTATTATTTATTCTTTAATTTGTCCACTGATCAATGCCATTATTGTTACATATAAAATATTCAACGTAGTAAAAACACTATTTAACCACTCTATAAAGAGTTACGAGAGACTATGTTTATAAAATAAAGAGATGTCGTATGATTGCCAATTAGACAACTATCCAACAGAATCCAAAATGAAATAACTACAAAAATGTATAGGTCACCACCGTAAGTACGGTCTTCAACAATGAGCAAAACCCATATCTAAAAGCCAAAGAAATCTGTCACCTGTTTTTTTTACCATTTTGATACAAAAATATAGAAATAGGAAGATTTGAAAATATCTCACTCAATATTTATATTTTACTGTTTTGGAACGAAGAAAAATTTGTATTTATTGCATGCCCTGAATGATTAGGATGTTTAATTCATATCTATTATGTGTTCTGAATATGCATGATGTATTTATACAGTCTACTAAAGAACTTGTGGAGAGTTGTCTCATTGGCAATCATACCACATCTTCTTTTTATATATACATTAAAGAATTACATAATAGTACATACGTCATAGACATGAACTAAACAACCAATCAATCTGAATGTCCTATTTTCGCCTAACAATTTCAAAATTGATTGCGAAAATTAAAACGAAAAATAAAAATTGGTTTCTAAGCAGAGTTTCAGAAGTAGTCATTTTGGTAATTGGTCGAGAGAATTGCGATAAGTTTTAATAAATTCGCTGTCATTTGTCATCAGAATAAGATAATAAATAATAAAGTTTATTTTCTCCCCTGCGCCTTTATACATTTTGAAATAACGAATTAGTAATGAAGCGTAAAATATAAACACTGATGTATGTTTTCAGTAGAGTTAGAAAGCCCATACAAATATTAAACAAAATCTTGTTCATAATGATGTAAAAGTATATGACATAAATGTTAATATTATGCTGATAAACTGATTTTGTTATATTAATCTCCGGTCAGAAACTCAGGGACATTTGCCCTTTTAACAGGTCACCTATGGACCGATAGGAGGTTGAAAGGGTTCTTGAATAAGCAGTGAGTGTGACATTCCTTCTACATAAACGATCATATTCTGATCGGACGTAAAATGAAAAAGGAAACTATTAACGTGGAAATATCGAAACTTCAACAAAACAATATTTCAAATTAAAGATACCTGTACATGAACATTAAAATTAAAATCCAATACTATTACATAATAATCCGACCTGGCCAATAAGTTAAGAATGACCCCCACTGTCTCCACCATAACACTATTTATATGCACCATTGTCGACAAGTTGTGTT